CGAAGGGAAGGGGGAGGAGTCTGGTGACGTTGATGTCCGTGACGGTTAATGAAGGGAAGGGGGAGGAGTCCGGTGACGTCGATGTCAGTGACGTCACCGGACTCCTCCCCCTTTGTTAGCCGACGGACCCTCTTGGGTCGGTGAGTTTGCCCAAGAAACTTTCTGCACGAGCGCCAGCCAAGGCATTGGCCTATACACATACAGCACAGCAATGAAGTAATAAAATGAACTAGGATCACACTAATCCAGCACGTTATTATTCTGAGTTGCCCCACTCAAGCGGCGGCCATATTGAGTGTGGCACCTGAGATTAATAACGTGCTGGATTAGTGTGATCCTAGTTCATTTTATTACTTCATTGCTGTGCTGTATGTGTATAGGCCAATGTAGTTGGATCTGTATGTGCGTTATAATTGAAATTAATCGATTAAGACTTTTTTCGATTAATCAAACATGAAAATTTTAATCATTACCAGCCCTAAATTATTGTAAATGTAGAGCAAAAATAGGAAATGCATAGCACATTAGGCCACCCGGGACTTGTATTGTCTGTAACAGTGAACAGCATTTTAGGTTGCACTGAGCTTCAGCCATGCGAGTATAGGCATGTGAACTTAGTATGCACGTTTACCTGTAACTTCAGTAATCCAAGCAATAGATTTTTTTAGTTTTAAAATACATTGTGACTGATCTGCCTTTCAGGTTCACGGGGTATTTTGTTATCCATTTAATTCTTATCTGGTATTCTGACAGTATGCCAGATTTGTTTTTGGAGGTTTAGTATATATAAAAAGTAAAATCTGATTTATGGCCTTAACTGAACAATGGGTGTTTTAAGTAAAATTCTTGGCACAACTGTCGTCAGTTTGTGTCAGAGATGTAGTTATTGTTTGAAGGATATTGTAGAAATGCAAAATACATGCCCCTTTTGCCAAAATCCAGGATTTATTTCTAGTTTGTAGCCCAAGGATGTCTACACTATAAACAAAATTCTCATATCCAGATTTATCACTATTGTTCAATCTGATAAATAACATCACATTAACATACTAGAACATTTTGAAGTAATAAGAGGGTGGTTTTTCCATCTCTATGGCTGAAATAGAAGAGACATTTGTAGTGGTTACCAATGTAGATTTCTCATATCAATGTAGCTAAACCCCCTTTGTGCATTTTTAGCTGAAACAAGCTTATAAGGGGGTTTCAGCTACAAATAAACTTTACATTCAATTCTTGACATTTAATGAGACTGGAACTTTTTTGGTCCACATTTCCAGTTTATATGTTGGATAAATCCCCTATGTTATAACATAAAGGAAGTGTCGGGTCCTCTTTATTGAGACATTGGGGTCTTTTGGACCCCTAATGTCACCTATGGACCCCAAAGAAGCTGAAAAAGCACAGACCATGCTGCATCAGCTTCTCCCCCGGCCACAGCAGCTAGAGAAATGATAGCCTGAAACCGGAAGTCTGAAATCTTTGTTGCTTCCCGTTTTAGTGATTGGAAGGAAGATAAGAATTAAGCTGCAGATGCCTGCCATGCCAGTCTGGGGCCTGCACAGGGGACAGCGGAGTCCAAGATAGGTGGTGGTGGGAGGGTGCACACTCCTCAGCTGTATTCAAGTGATCAGGTGGCTGTGGACCCTTCCGATTACTTGTGACAGCCGGGCACCACCACCTGAAGAGATCATATTATTGGGCTGCAAATAGTTACACTACCCTATTGTTATTATACCTATGGTCAGTATGTGTATATTCTTTTGTAAGTGGGGCATATCTGTAAAGAGGAATAAACATTTGAAATTAGTTTTGATTTAGATATGCATGTGTGTATAAAGAACTTCTCAGGGATTAATTCCACTTGGCAGAATACATTTCAACGCTTTGGGTCTATGTTTGTCACTGAAAAGAAAACAACGTTTTACCCTTGCATCGGTTGTTTCAGCATTACAGCCACGAAGGAGTGGACCTGAAGGAGAACTTTCTCCTCTAGGTCCCTCCTCTGCAGATTGACAGCAGGCAGTGGGTGGGTGTGTTACCCAGCCTGCTATTGGCTATTGCAATTTGATAGAGCCAATAGCAGGCTGGCTGACTATTGCACCCGCCCACTGCCTGCTGTTTTCTAATTCAGCTGCCATTCCCCAGCTAAAGCTATGGAAGTGGAAAGGTGACACTAGGGGTCTAATAGACTCTAATGCCACTGCAAAGAGAACCTGTCATATCCAATGTGCTGTCACATAGGGAGGTTGTGAGCCCCCCCATGTGAATAGCAAGCAATTAATTTGTGTAAAAAAAAAAAAAAAGCTTAAAGTAAAAAAAAAATTGGTATTTTTTTTGGGCATACTAATGGAAACACGAGTCGGGTGCACCTACAGTACTACAAAAATGACAATTATGCTACACATGTCAAGAATTGCCTGGGTGCCATTTAAAAATGTGGTTGGAAGTTACAACTGTCATTGAAAATAAAGCTTTGTTAAAAAAGTTAGGAGACAGTATTTTTTTTTTTTTATCTGGCTCCTAGATTCAAAGCAAATTTGTCAAGCCCTAGCAAAGGCAATATACTGTATATGCACAAAGTAGATCATTGTATAATGTTTTTAATAGGAATGCATCTATACCGTTTTTTCAGTATGGAGTGCGAGTACCAAAAGCCGGGCAGCGTGTCATTACCCGCTTCCCAGCCAATAGGCATCGACCCAGCTGTTTGGCCGGCTCACTGCTGATTGGCCAGGAAGCCGGCTTCCTAGCCAATCAGCATTGTGCTGGCTTCCTGGCTAATCAGGAATCCGGGAGGTCATTACCTGCCACCAGGCTTCCTGATTGGCCAACTAGTATCGGTGCAGTCCTAGTTTTAAATAAACATTGCCTTTTTTAACCTGTATATTTTTCACATGTGCTGTAATGTTTGATCTATATTTTTTTTTTTCTTCAAAAAAATCAACAAACGTTAATCTATTATCAAAGCTGTTTGTGGGTCAGTAAATCCCAAAGTATTAAAGGAGAACTATGAGATGAGTGATTTCCACTCACCTCATAGTTCTAGCCGACCTCTGACAATGAGACTGTCACAGGTCGGCTCAGTAGATCGGGAGGTGAGCGAACACATACCGGGTTCGCTCACCTCTCGATCCTGTCACGGTTCCCCTCTTCCCGCTCCGATCTACCAGCGCTGACTGGCAGAACGGACGGGGTGGGGGCGGGTATAGCGGGCTCTGCCTCTAGATGGGCAGAGCCAGCTGTCACTCACGCAGCTGGGCGGATCCCGACGTCCAGGTCGGGATCCGCTCCGGCTGAGGCGTCTCAGTATACCGCGAGCTGTAGCTCGCGGTATACTGAGCTTAGGGTAACGGGAGGACGCTAGTTTGTGTCCTCCCGTTACCCTAAGGAGAACTATGGGGAAAAACACTGACCCCATAGTTCTCCTTTAAAGCCAAGTCGGGCAAATAACTGTTTAGGGGTAGCAATTACATCTTTTGTACTTTGCTTTGTACAGGTTTCCTGTAACATTTGTATGTAAAAATAAATGAATTTATAGTAAACTGCTTAGGTTAGAAAAAACATTTTGAGCTGAATAATCCAGGGGCCCCCAGAGAAATATTAAACATTCAGGGAATTGAAAAGTGCTAAGGATAAATTCCAGGCTTTCCTGAAAGTAAAATGTAGCCAAGGTTGAAAGGAGTTTTTATGCACAGTAAATAGTCAAACTGTTTGTGTTGTACATTCAGAGGGATTAAGGAAACATAACACACTGATATTCTCTATCTGCAAGCCCAGCCAACCACCTAAATAAACATATAAAATACATACATGCAAACTCATGTTAGAATTAAAAAAAATCACACTTGCCAGCTAGAAGGCACAAAAAGGAAGCCTGTCTCAACTTTTTAGGGCCAAAAAACAATACCCAAAAAGGTTTCTTGGTGTGGAAATGTAGCTTCACATATATATGTAAATGTTTGAAATACAAAAAGTATAGGAAGGTTAAAAGTGCTGTTATTTTTTTTTTTCTTTGGCCAACTGTCTCTGATTGGGAACATTTCCCTTCACTGTTCTAAAGACTCAGCAGGATGTATGGATCTTTCCAATGTAAGGGAAATCCCCTTAGATAGCGGTCAGGGGAACAAGTGTCCTCATTGAAAAATTTCCCCCTTCTTCATGTTCTCGTGGCATTTGAAAAATTTGGATCTGCCCACACTTTCATTTCCGGTGACATTGATGATCAGAACAGTTAGAGAGAGAGTGAATCTCCTTAACAGGTACACAGACACCAATACGTGCCTGACAGTGGTTGTAACCCCTCACCACTGTATTCCAATCTAATAAAAAATGCCTTTTATTTATGCTTTAACCTTAAATGTTGAAACAGCTTAGACTTTGTTTTGCTCTTTTTTTTTTTTGCACTGCCCTATGTTAGACATGGGATCAGCATTTCTCAACTTTTTTTCAGCCTTTGCACCTTTTTAAATTATGCAAAATTTCAAGGCACCCCAGTCTAAAACGTAAAAGCCATAAATGTAAAAAAAAAAAAAACGACCTGTGGTCCCTCCAATATTCAAACCAGACCTTTACCTAAGATCTCCTCAAAGATTTCTGTTTTACTTTTTTTTTTTTTCTCCCCAGTATACATTTTAATCTGCTTTTAAGAATATTTGCATTTTTCCTGTTTTGTTCTGTAGCCTCATATTTAATTAAGCTACATTTTGTGGGATATTTTTAAGTTTTAATGTTTACAGATCTTCAGTTGCCACTGGATTTAAGGAAACTTGAAAATAAAATGTGGAAACTCTTTGTAGGTTCCTTGTAGTATCCTGTCATTTAATTCATACATGCATGCGTATAAATTCTGTGTATAATAACGGAATGTTTTCACAGCGTAAGGTTACAATAATACTAAAGTCTTAGAACTTGCATGCTGTAAACTGACACTTTAATAATACTGTGCACTAAGTGTTCTTGGAATTATATTGTTTTATATATTTTATTTCTGCCTTTTACAGCAAATCAACAGTGCTCTTAAGTATACTTGTGGATTCGTATTAGTGTGCGCATGTCTCCTCCTGATTGGGTAAGTAGTCTGCAGCAGCCAGTGATGTGCCGTAACTAACTGGTTATTAACCATTTACAATGCTATATTTATACTAAGCAAAGCGGATTGCTTAATGAGCAATAACTCCATATCACCTATAACCGTATAACATTTTCACACATTTTAGATTGAACCCTACTAAATGTGTAGTGCAGTAATTAATTGCACAATTTTTAAAAATGTTTTAGTAGTTTTGCATTACATTTTGTTTGTGGCTGTATTCATTCATGCTCTTGTCTACACAAAATACACGTTTCTGAAGCACATCTGAGTCTCTCCTAGCCTTGACCACATAAAGAGACAAAAAATGCACAAGATAGTGATGGCTCGCGTGGCATTGGTAATTTGTTTATGACTGGCGAATACTAACCGCGGAGACCATGCATTGGTAATTGCAGAACTTGCTACAGCTGTGATGCCGCAGCACATATTTTCACATAGCTACATACACATTTGGAAAACATATATGTGAATTGTTTTCTATGCCAAAGGTTTGTAATTCTGTGCAGCCAGTATTGTGATTCAGAGACCCTTGCCAGACTGTATAACTAGATGCTGTCCTCCACTATAGCAGCAGCCCAGCTTAGTGAAGAACACTGCTTTTCACCGCACATTGAAAGAGCAGCAATATGCTCATAAAGTCACTCGCCTTCTCACTCTGTTCTCGTGTCTGCATGTTTCTTGCAGGATGTATCAGAACTTAATTGGCTTAGAATGGTGGCCCCTTCCAAGCTAAGCACTGCTGTGCAGGAAATCACAGGAGGCATTCATAATGACAAAGCATGGTCCTTGCATTGAAACAACTATTATAGTTATGAAGTCATTAAAAATCCTGTATCAGTTGTTATTGTTTACCTCTGCCTAGAATTCAACTTCAATTGAAACAAAATTGTTTACTGCTTATTATCTTGTTTCTGTACAAGCTAGGTGCTCTGTAAGCTCTGTATTTGATGTTGCTTTGCTACACATGTAACGGATGCATTTTAAAAAATCAGTTCTTTTTGATATAGTCTGTTAATTTTACACTAAAAACATATTTTTTTTCCATTCTACATTCACAAAGATCTAAAATGTTCAGACCCTGTATTATCCTGCCAAGCATACATGGTAAAATTCAAATGAATGGCCATGACATAAATAAGATATATGGGGTTTGGAATATTTAAAAATACACCTCCGCAAAAGCTAAAGGTTAACCTCTAGCTTAGAAAACCCATCAGACCATTACCTTAAGCTTTTGTAAATGTTGGCATCTTATAAAAAAAAAAAAGATCTTGTAAAGCATAAAATCAGTTCTGGATTAATTTGAAAAAAGGCAAGAAGCAAATTGCCTCCTAAATATTACCGTTAGAAGTTTAAGACATCATTTCTGTTGGCGTTCTGTACTATTTGTTTTGAGGGAAGCCAGTATGGGCTGCAGCTAGCAATTAGTTTCATAATTGATTAGTTGCCCAATGTATTTATTCTCTCTCCTCCCTCTCTCTCTCCCTCCCACTCTCTCTCTCCATTCTATCTCCCCCTCTCTCTTCCCTACTCTCTCTCTCTCTCTCTCTCTGGCTCTCTCTCTCTCTGTCGCTCTCTCTCTGTCGCTATCTCCTCCCTCTCTCTCTGTCGCTCTCTTAGTTCTTGCAGCCCTAACTGTTACATGATATAAAGTGATAGACAGTGCCTGTTTGTTACAGAAGACAATTTACTAAAAGGTTGCCACCCAAAATCATTCATATAGGAAACTTGCAGGGGGGTTGGTGGTTTTAGGATCTGGCAGGGCTAGTGTTCTGTACTGCTACATATTGTATCTCTAACTTGCATTGTCCAATAATGTTGAAGACTGGTATTTTACTGAAATATTGAGAAGGGAAATAATTTTGGGTTTCTCAGAACTGCTGGGTTGGGATATAGTTGTGCCCCATGTTGCAAAGTTTGGTAATGTAAAGTGCTGGTGCTTTTTGTTAATGTGGAAAATAGTGGTGCAGCAGTTTGCTACACAAGATACATTCTAATAGGTAGGATAGGCTTAATATTTAGGATAATACTTGGGTTAACAACCTGTCAAGAGCAGGGTGTTATGTTATATGCATTATACAGTAAATTACAAAGTTTGTGGACACCGGAACACCTACTGTATCCAACACCATGGGTATTAATATAGAGCTGTCCCTTTGCAGCCCCCACTCTTCTGGAGAGGAATTCCATGGCAAATTGTTCCCATTCAGCCAAAAGAGCATTTGTTATGTCCAGTACAGATGAGAAGACCTGGCTCACAATTCATTCCTAAGGTGTTTGATAGGGAAAGTCAGGGCTCTGTGCAGAACAAAGCATTCTACATACCATACTCCCAAACTGTGTCTTTATGAATCTGTCTTTTACGCCAGTGCACAGTCCTGATGGTGCAGAAAAGAGCCTCCCCTAAACTGTAGCCACCAGATTTGAAGCAGGCAATTGTTTAGAATGTCTTTGTGTGCTTTGTTATAGTATTACCAGTATTATCCTTCACTTGGAAACACCTGAGCTCAGTAATTTGGAGGGGTGTGTGCTATCAAAGATTGTGACTGGGTTGGACTGTGTGACCGGTCACACATTTTAACTAATCACGCCCACTTTTTCGGAGGTGAAATATGTGACCTGACAAAAGGTGAAGAATTCCAACACTTTGTCAGCTGTTCCAGGGCAGATCGGCATCGCAAATCGTATGTGCAGGAGAACCGATCTGCCGTGGAACAGCTGATCGGTCCTGAAATGTCACTTCTATCTGACTCTGTGGAATGTGAGATCGCAGTCACAAAGTCACATTTCAGGACCAATCAGCTGTGTCAGGGCAGATCGGTTTTCCTGCACATACCATCTGCGATGCCGATATGCCTTGGAACAGCTGACAAAGCGTTGCAATTCTTCACCTTTTGCTGGTCACATATTCCATCGCCGATAAAGTGGGCAGGATCACGTTAAAATGTGTAACCACGTGACCGGTCACACATTCCACCACCGGAAAACTGGGCGGGATGAGGTTAAAATATGTGACCACATCACCGCTCACACATTCTAATGCAGTCACAAACTTTGATAGAACAGGGTGTCCTTTTTTTTTTTTTTGCTTGTGAAATTCATGTTCCCCTAAACTTTTAGCCATATAGTGTATTTGTAATTCTTCCATTGGGCTGGTCAGAAACTGGTTATATGTTGTTCAAGTGGTAGTTTACCTTCGGAAAAACATTGACACTATACAATTCATGGTGTCATTCAGCCCGCCCGCCAGCAGTAGACATCCTTTGATTGGGAAACTACGTACATACTCCCTATGCACACTTAAGATATCAATTATGTTTTGCCACCTGGATAACCTGCACCCAATTCATCATTTGCTATGTATGCTCCAAGATGGAGGTTCTCACAGATTAGAGTTAGGACCGCACTGGGGCCTTGACGAGCCAGTGTGGCTTTACATGTTTTGCCCTCTATTTTTAACTCTAATAGTTAGTGTTTTTTTGCAGGCTGGCTGGTGAGTGTGCTGGGAAATGTTTGCTCGTGTCCTTTTAATAGTAGTGGACATTCATGCCAGAAAGATCCAGTGATGTCATACCCCCGCCTACCACTTTCCTAGTGCAATGCAAATCAGATCACAGACTAGAATTTAGAATGCTACCAAACACAGAAGAGTATGAACATCAATATATTAACAGTGTGGGTATGTTTATTTCATGCTTCCGAATACCTTGAAGCTTGTGATTTCATTTGGCAATCATAGTAGTTTATTTCCACTTTGATGTAGATCATATGCACCAGTCTTCATCTTCTCATGCCATCATAATCTGCATCGGCGTTTAAGTCAAAAAGTCAAACAATGTATAATAGTGGGTTGTATAATGTAATTCTCTGCAAGTAGCCATCACTTTCGTTTCTAGCGTCATGCATAATTAGATGCAAGAATACGTGCATAACATGTGCTGTTGGCTCTTAAGCTTTGGTCCCCTGGCTAATAATTTTTGAGGAGTTTGTCCATTCAAAAGATTATTGAATGATGAATATTGTTAACAGTAGTGTTTGCTTTAATCTTTTGGAATACGGTTGTGAAAAATATGTGTATATACATTTTCACATTGTATGGAGTAAGTTGCGCTTAACATGACAATTTTTTTTTTAAAGTTTTGCTATGAAACTGCATTGTGGCATGGACTTTGTTAGGATTGTTAATTTAACCGCTTGAAGACCAGGTGTTTAGATCCCCTACCTATGTTTTTGATTCAATCTATTTAAGATCCTGTTCATAATTATATCTAATTGCATGTACAGGTTAAGCAGATAAGCAAGCACTCATATATAACCTATCCTTATGTAGAGATGGCAAGCTTTCTACTACACATTGGTTCATTCTTTTTTAATCTATGTCAGAAATGGTTTAACAAAGCTATCAATCAACAGATAATGTACCATTTCAGAAAACTACAAAGGCAATTTGAGATGCTAACTGCTTATTTTTAACCAATTTTGACATAACCTTTACACTAAATAGGAGATATAATGAGGTGTTGGTAACTATTCTTTTCAGCTATCCTCGTAATAATTTAAATAATTGTAATAGCAGTCATTTTAATAGCCATACAACACTTTGAATGTGTTTCTTGATGGCATAGATCAGTGTCATCCTCCAACACATCAGAACGCTTGTTGGTAAATGTAGCTATTCATACTAATGTTTTGCTGGCTAAAGACACATTTTTTTTTTTTAGTCTGCCACAAGTGCAGTACACATTTGCTTTAGCATCTTATAAATTTGGAAAAATAAATTGTTATCTGCATACTTTGATACCTGTAGGGCTCTGCCCAAGCCCACAAATCTGTAAATAAGTTCCCCCAGCAAACCTGACAACCATACTAGTTGCTGGTACAGGAGTCTCAGTGATCAATGGGGAGTTATAAGGGAGTTATGCTAATTTATGCATCCCAAACATCTCTGTTTAAAAAAAAAAAAAAGTGTTTAATGTACGGATTATATGTTCTGCACCATTTTGTGGCAGTAGGGGTAGCAGAACCCATTTTAACAGAAAGAGTAGTAAGGGATTAAGGGTTTGCTAGATTTTTTTGACTTGGACCTGCCAGCTTTGCCATTCACACCTTTAGACAATAGCAACCTAAACATAAGATATATGATTTTGATGTTTTTCTTTTAATTACTGTTTATATTTTTTTGATTTTTCTTTAGAGCATTTGTTCCACTGGATATTCCTACAAATAAAAATATCACCGAGTTTGATAAAATCAAGATACTATTTCAAGAACTTGGTAGCAGTCGTAAGTTATTTTTCTTTCACCTTTCCCCTCTACAGTTGTACTGGTTGTGAATGTATTTTTTATCTACTAGCAGCTTTCACTTTTAAGTGTGTTTTATTTAAATATTAAAATGGTGGCAGGAAAGAGATGGAGACCTATTTAATCCTTAATAATACATTTATTATTAGCAATGCTTTACAATATAAGGAAGACATTACAATCACAATACAATACAATTCAAGACAAGATGGTAAGGAGGGCAGGGCTTACAATCTAAGACTTAGAGAATACATGAGATTCTAGAAAGGCCATTAAAAAAAAAAACACAAAACAGTTGACACAATATGCATTACGCAACCAATGACGTTGTACACCTGTGGTTACAAATGTATTAACTATTTGGTTTGCTTAGGGTACCATACTTTTTGATATCCTCTCATGGTTTTATGCATTACAGTTTACAACAATTCTCTCATATTTAATAGATATGTTTTCAGTAGACATTACGGTGCTTTCCACATCAGTATTGCTCTTTCTTTTGTCAAGTAGTTTATCAGATTTGCAAGTAGCGTAACCACCTTAGTACCGGAGCAACTTTTAATTTTTTTTAAACCTGAATTTTTGGATAGAAAATTACTTGAAACCCCCAAAACAGATGGCATGCAGAATAAAAAAAGTATAGCTGAACCTTTTGTGTGGCAAAAGCGTAATTTACGTAGACATGCATGCCCTCTGTCCATTCATTTATTCATATGCAGATGGCAGGGTTGGTTTTCATTTTTATGCATTTTTTATTTTTTTTATTGTAAACACTTTTAAAAAAATATTTTTATTTTTTTCAATGCAACTTTGTTGCCAACACAAAGGGACCAACAAGCCCCCATGTGATAGCGTTGAGGGTAACAGGTTCTCTTTATGTAGACATAAAGTGTCTGTCGGAACCCTGAAGTCTCTGCTGTCCTCCAACACAAACAATCAAGCATAAAATTGCACATCATTTGATCTCTCATCACTTGTACGTACATAACAACCATGTCCTGTACAGATATATTGTATGGTCCTGAAGTGGTTAATAGAATGACAACTATGTGTTGTGTTATTGAAACGCACAAACATCTATTTTACAATTTTTATTAGTAAAAAAAAATGTTGATTTGTACATAATTGCCTTTAAAAGGGTTAGCACAGGTGTTAATAACTACTATGGGCTTATTTTCAATGTTCTGGTTTGTTTGCATTTGAAAAGAAACCAAACTGCAAGACAAAGTAACGTACAATGGTATTAAATCATACAATTTTCATGCATGTCTTTCTGTAGGTTGCAGTTTTGAAAGTATGATCTGCAGCTTTTTCTTTCCATTTTTCTTTCTTTAGAAAATACATAGTTAATGGCTTTCTATGGCCCAGCTTCAGAAACCACACAACACATGCAAGCACTTAAAAGCACAGCAGTGGAAACAGACCCTTGTTCTTGATAAACAAATTTGCTCTTGCTACTTAGAAGAAGCACTGCTGCTTTACGATCATAACCTGTGGAAAGCTCCACTCCCAGAGGATGTTATACTTTTAAAAATGTGTCTAGAATATGTTTTGCTTAGCTTATTCATCAAGTCATCTTTGGGAATTGCCATTTAGTTAACTTTAGGCACTATAGATACTTATATACTTATGTACACATCTATAGACTTGATGCAAATCTCAATGTGTGAACGACACAAAAATCGAGCTTAGCTGTCAGTATTTGTGGCTTACTGATGCTCCATTTATTTTTTCTTTATTTTTAATGAGCTGTTTGTTAACTAGGGAATCATTTCATCAACATATCTATGAAGTGATGCGGTTTTAAGTACTACTGATGCTTTGGAAGATACATTTTTGCATTTTAATACAACAAATGTGTTCTTTTGTCATCTATGTACAAATATAATACACAATAGAATGTGTTTGCCATTGATTTTGGACAGCATTGTATTGTTGACCATGCATATGCAATGCATGTCCAAGTATTTTTCTAAGCAAAAAAAAGGAAATCTTTGAATTCATGTGTAAATAAATGATGAAAAGAAATGAATTACCGGTACTACTTTTTAAATTTGAAATAATGTATTTGTTTTGTTAGATCTGTGTAGAAGTTTTCACCTCTTGCAACATTTTGTTTTTTTAGATGGTTTGGATGCCTTGTCATTTTCCATTAGTTCCTTGACCTTGATAGGAATGTTGGCAGCGATCACCTACACAGTAAGTTTTTCTTAATTTCCTCTTTTGTGTCTTGAAACACAAATGCAATTGAAGTCTTCTAAGTGACATTGCTTTGATTCAGGCATAGCAGAATGATACGCCTTTATTTTATCCGAGAGCATTACTAACCCTCTATAAATGGGAACCAGGTTCTGTTAACTGTTAATTATCCATCATCCAGCTGAAAACACATAAGTATTATATTATTGCAATGTGAGAGAGACAATGCTGCTTTTTAAAGTGCCAATTTTGTAACATATGCCGGCTTCTAATGGTTTTCTCATAACCACTGATGGCAACAAGCAGATACCAGTGTGGTTGCTAAGTAGCTGTTTAGGATACTACACTCCTTTTGTGGTCTTGTGTTGTCAGGCTCCTCTCTCTCTCTCTTTCTTTCTTTCTTTATTTTCTTTTCTTTTCTTTTTTTTTTGTAGAATGCATTATTTCTTTTATTGTGCATCCAAGCATTTATAGCATTCAGTATTAAGTTTAGATGTGTCTTTAAAGATTCAGATTCTGTTCCAACATCCAGATTAGTGTTTGTCTAATAATGTGGCTTTAGTTTGTTCATCTTGTACAAATAGGTCAAACCCTGCATATTTGTACTTGTAAAAAGGTATATGCTGATACGGAAGAAATTCACACAGTAAGGGTGAACCCAAGAGAATGGGGCAATTGTTCAATAAACATTGAGCCCTGACAATAAACATATCCCTGACCCCTGCACTATGTATATTATATACTTCTGACACCTGAACTTTGTACATAGGCTAAGTTTTAAGCCCCTCCCACTGTTATAGCAATTTTGCCACATCCACAGTTTATAAATTAGCTCCCTAAATGTGTTGTTGTATTCACAGATGTGTCAGCTGTTCCATTACATGCATAAACTCCAAGTTGGATGATAGTGTGATTGTCCATTGTTAAGTCTTTGCATGCACTGGATTGGCTGACACTACCATGATCACAATAATGCACATACTGGTGAGGCTGTGTGTGCACTCCTAACACAAGAGTTGTATATCATTTGTTTTAGACATCTTTTATTAAACTGTATATTGAAAGGAGGTTGATGCTAGTTCTGACCTACCTATAATTTGGTAATCAGACAATATGGTTTGTTTTGTTTTTAATAGGTGGAGGTTTTGTGTTTACCAAGTGAATATATACAAATCATCAATCATCATATTTTTGGTAAAACAGAAAAGTCGGGGTCATGTCGGGTAAATAGACACCAAACATGTCAAGCCTTAAAATTGCGTGTGCCCGCAAAATCGCAAAAAAACAACCACACTGAAAATTGCCCATAGACGCTTTTACCGCTCATCAGTTTAGCATTATCAGTAATTATTGGCTCTAAAATTATTGCTCTCACTCCGACATTTGCGGCGATATGTAACATGTGCGGCACAATAGGCGCAATAGTAGTTTTCGCACGTAGGCGCACCCGACACATATCTGCGTGTGTATGTGGGGGGCGGGGGGGACTTAAAAAAATATTATTTTTAATTTTTTTAATGCTTTTTTTTTTTTTTTTTAATGATTCTTTAAAAAAAAAAAAGTAATACATAAAATTAAACACAACTTTATTGCTATTACATGGGGGACTAAGAAGCCCCCTATGTGATAGCCAATTTACATGACAGGTCTTCTTTATGGAGACATCAGGGGTCTCCAAGACCCCTAATGTCACCTAGGGACCCCCAGAGAAGCTGATGAAGCAGAGATCTGCTTCATCAGCTTCTGTAGCTGGAGAGTGACACTGAATGCAGGAAGTGATGTAATATACATAACTTCCTGCATTCGGGGACTGAGAGGAGATCAATGGAAGTACGTGTACTGAAGTCCCTTTGATCTCCTGTCACAGAGCCGTGCCGGTCCCGGCCGCATCGGGCACAGCGGATCTCGGGACCGGCATTAACAGTGACGTCTGCTAATACAAGCGATCGAGCGTCTCTAGAGACGCCCGATCACTTGAATGTAAAGCTGCCGGCTGTGTAATTACAACGGCTGGCCGGGAAACTGCTCGTCGGGCTCCGCTGTCCTCTCGTCACAGACGAGCGAACGATTGGATTTTTCTAGCCCTGCAAATCATAAAGATAGTGTTTACCATATCAAGGAAGATTTCACTGTGTGATTCACCTATGGACTTTTGAGACCTTATTTGGACTTTTGGACAGTTTGAGTTATTTTGTTTAATCGGGCTGTTCTGAGTTTGAGCACCATCTTTTTATATTTTATGTATGTTTTGGATTAATGATCAACTGAACATCATAGTTCCCCCATATCTGTTTTATCTACTGCCTCTGAGCCTTCTGCTGTTGAGATCTTGTTTGATGCTGATTCTCTGAAGTCCTTAAGATATGCTGCTACACCTGTGGAGTCACTGTGCCCTGTATTTACTCCCAAACTTAAAAAGACCACTTTGGCTCTTAGTAATGTTGTTCATTCCATTTTAAAACTGTAAGATCAGCCTGCAACCTTTTCCAGTGTTGTCCCTAGTTTAGACTCCTTGAAGGGCTCTAAAACGGCAAAAATGTGTCCAGTGCACCCTCTCTTTTCAGCTCTCAGATGTCTAGCCCTACCAAATGAATAGCACTGGTGTACCCGCATGAGGAGGAGAACCTTCTTGAAATGTAGACTGTCTGTGCTTTGAATTTAGCAGTGTCCTGCCTTAACAATGCCTGGTCCATTCTGGTAGAGGATGCACCTGTGTTTAGGGACCCTGTTGATAAGTGGTTAGAGCTCCTTTCAGAGACCTTTTTCTCCTTGATAGCCTGTTCTGTGCAACCTGCCCTGGCTGTGATGCTTGTCTACCAAACTATAACTAATTAGGTTAAGTTCATAAGAATGTATCTGTCACGTGTGCAGTCTAACCTTGTGCTCCTAGAGCATTTGGATCACAGTCTTGAGCGTTTGTGTATAGACATTGTGTAATGGACATTACCACTCTTTTTTCCTGTATGAGTCACTTTTCTGTGCATATGATAATTCTTTGGTTGAAGTGTTGGGCTGTGGAACCGTCTTGCCAGAAGAGTCTGACTCCTATGTTTTTTGAGGGACAACATCTCTTCTCACCTTGAACACCCTCAACAAGGATGTGACTGGGTTCCGCTTACCCCAGCAGAAGAAATCTAGGGCTCAGCCTGGGGAAAACAACTCCCCTTTCATTACTCCCACGTTTCAAATACCAAAGCCAATCCCAAACCTGGCCCCTGGTCCACCCACAAACCTTGGATACCAAAGTCCCCCAAGCCCTCCAATAAGTTTGCAGCATAAGGACTTTCCAAAGTGGGGAGAAGGCTAGTAGACAGCATCTCAGATGTGTTGGTGCAATAGGTGGTTTCCCAGGGCTAAAGCTTAAGTTCCACTCTTAGCCCCCTCTATGATTCATCTTCAAACCTGCTTCTGTCACTGCACAGATTAGTAGACCTCTGTGTAGCACTTGCAAGTCTTTTAGAGCAAGGGGTCATAGCCCCAGTATCTGTGGCAGAACAGTTGAAGGGATTGTGCTCGAAACCCATTTGCAGACCCCGAGGTAAAAGAGGGCATCTGCACCATCTTGGACCTCTAGCCTCTGAATGTTTGTTTTAATTTGGACCCAGAAGTTCCACAAGTAATCCACAAGGTCTGTCATAATCTCTGTCCAAACTCTGACTTCTGTGGATATGGTGGATGCATACTTAAATGTCCCAATTTTTCTAGTGCATCAGCGATTCCTTCACTTTGCCATGGTTCCTTAGCACTTTTAGCTTGTGGCTCTGCCATTTGGCCTATTGTCTGCACCCTGGGTGATCATCAAGGTGCTTGTCCCAGTACTAGCCTTACTATGCTCTCAGGGCATTGGATATTGGGATGACCTCAACACAGCCCTGGCCTTCAGCTGTGTATGGGCTGAAAAATATCACGGTGGGTGGCTCTGCTAGCACCTTCCGCCTTGACAGAACTCAACATCAATGCAACTGGGTGGGAAAATTGTTAGCCAAATAGTGACTGCAGCCAATAAGCTGCAATGTCAGTGTTTGGGTATTCAGACAGCCATGGGGGCTGGCTGTTAGAATACAGTAGTCATCAGGAGAGATTCCTCCATCCACGCTCTACATATATGGCCAGCTTTAAAGCATAAGGAAACTTTCAATCAGCATTTTATGAGTTTTTCCTCCCCTCCCTTCCCTACTTTCCCACTGCGATGATCTAACTCATTCTTCACCTCCTCCGCTGTATACCCCTACAGTTCTAGCACCCAAGTACAGCAGCTTTTTGTTGCAATGTTTACCTATGCCCAGTGCATTTTCTGCTTCCTGTGTGTGTGGGAAGTAGAACCCCATAGACTTCTAAAGGGCTCTGCTGTGCATGTGTAGTAAGCAAGATCAGGACCCAAAATTTAATGCTAGTGCTGCTGATCATCTGTAACCTCCAGCAATCCCCACACATACCAGCAATCCGCTTCCGGCACAGGAAGACTCACATTGCTGATAACCTACTGAAGACAAGCAAATCAGTTATGTGGCATGTCGGAGTCACAAATATGTTATGTCAGGTCTACTGTGGGATTTAGGTAGAGCCTTTGGTCAAAATGGTGCTGAATATCTAGTGCATGCACAGTAGCGGTAGAAAGGTGAAAACATTGTCACTACTACGCATACACGGTAGCATTAGGATTTAAATGTAGACCAGCACCATTCACAAGAGCAGCAGGAAGCACATCCAAAGTGGTCCCTGCAGCAGGTGAGTCTATGTTGCAGTGGGACATGACCTTCTCATTTCTGGCACTGTCAGCCCACACCACCTCTCTACCCAATACATTTGCTGCCATTACACATGCACTGTAATCTCCTAGCTGGGCAGCATGCACCTTCAACCCCCTTGCCTGATCTCTGCTGTAGGCTGGGAGGTCTGCATGTAGAGTTACAGCTGACAGCTCCTTGCAGAGGCACCACTCACCACTACGGCTACAACCACCCCCCTCCGCACCACTGTGCTTGCATGTCCCTTCACAC